CAACACCAAACCACAGAAAAAGAAAAAGCAAGACAGTAGAGAGTACATCAAGTTTGGTACACAATCAAACCTTCAAACAACTAAGACAACTAAATGACAGGAATCATCACATACCTATCAGTACTAACACTTAATGTTAATGGACTTAATTCACCCATCAAAAGACACCGTTGAAAAATGGATTAAAAAAGGAAGATCCAACAATTTGTTGCTTACAGGAGACCCATCTCACGACAGAAATAAGCATAGCTTAGGATGAAAGGCTGGAAGAAGATTTACCAAGCCAATGGCCCCGAAAACAGGCAGGAGTAGCAATACTTATCTCTGACAAAGTAGACTTCAAACCTACATTGATCAAACGAGATAAAGAAGGACATTCCATACTAATAAAAGGGGAAATAGACCAAAAGGAAATAATAATCATCAACTGTATGCACCCAATGTCAACGCACCCAATTTCATCAAACATACCTGAAAGACCTAAAAGCATATATAAACGCCAACACAGTGGTTGTGGGAGACTTTAACACTCCATTATCATCAATAGATAGGTCATCCAAACAAAAAATCAATAAAGAAATCCAAGATCTAAAAATATGCAATAGATCAAGTGGACCTAGTTGATGTCTACAGAACATTTCATCCAACTTCTCACAATATACATTCTTCTCAGCAGCCCATGGAACCTTCTCCAAAATAGATCATATCCTAGGGCACAAAGCAAGCCTCAGCAAAATAAGAAAATAGAAATAATACCATGCATACTATCTGACCACAATGCAGTAAAAGTAGAACTCAACAACAAAAGTAAAGACAAAAAACATGCAAACAGCTGGAAACTAAATAACTCATTACTTAATGAAGAATGGATCATCGATGAATAAAGAGGAAATTAAAAAGTTCCTGGAAGTCAATGAAAATGAAAACACAACCTACCGAACCTATGGGACACAGCTAAGGCAGTCTGAGAGGAAAGTTTATAGCCATGAGTGCATATATTAAAAAGATTGAAAGATCCCAAATCAATGACCTAATGATACATCTCAAACTCCTAGAAAAACAAGAACAAGCAAATCCCAAAACAAATAGAAGGAGAGAAATAATAAAAATAAGAGCTGAAATCAACGAAATAGAAACCAAAAAAACCATACAAAGAATTAATGAAACAAAAAGTTGGTTCTTTGAAAAAATAAACAAGATCGATAGACCCCTGGCAAACCTGACTAAAATGAGGAGAGAAAAAACCCAAATTAGTAGAATCAGGAATGCAAAAGGGGAGATAACAACAAACACCATGGAAGTCCAGGAAATCATCAGAGACTACTTTGAGAACCTATATTCAAATAAATTTGAAAATCTAAAGAAATGGACAGATTTCTAGATACATATGATCATCCAAAACTGAACCAAGAGGAAATTAATCACCTGAATAGACCTATAACACAAAATGAAATTGAAGCAGCAATCAAGAGTCTCCCCAAAAAGAAAAGTCCAGGACCTGATGGATTCTCTGCTGAATTCTATCAGACCTTTAAAGAAGAACTGATACCAACCCTCCTTAAACAGTTCCATGAAATAGAAAGGGAAGGAAAACTGCCAACACATTTTATGAAGCCAGTATTACACTTATCCCAAAACCAGGCAAAGACACCTCCAAAAAGGAGAACTATAGGCCAATCTCCTTAATGAACATTGATGCAAAAATCCTAAACAAAATAATGGCAAACCGAATTCAACAACACATCAAAAAGATTATTCACCACGACCAAGTAGGCTTCATCCCAGGAATGCAGGGGTGGTTCAACATATGAAAATCAATAAACATAATAAACCACATTAACAGAAGCAAAGACAAAAACCACTTGATCATCTCAATAGATGCAGAAAAAGCCTTTGATAAGATCCAACACCATTTCATGATAAAAGCTCTAAGAAAACTAGGAATAGAAGGAAAGTACCTCAACATTATAAAAGCTATATATGACAAACCTACAGCCAGCATTATACTTAACAGAGAAAAACTGAAACCATTCCCTCTAAAATCAGGAACCAGACAAGGATGCCCACTATCTCCACTCCTATTCAACATAGTACTGGAATTCCTAGCCAGAGCAATTAGGCAAGAAGAAGGAATAAAAGGAATACAAATAGGTAAAGAAACTGTCAAAATATCCCTATTTGTAGACGACATGATCCTATAACTTAAAGACCCAAAAAACTCTACTCAGAAGCTTCTAGACATCATCAATAGCTATAGCAAGGTAGCAGGATATAAAATCAACATAGAAAATCATTAGCATTTCTATACACTAACAATGAGCAAACTGAAAAAGAATGTATGAAAACAATTCCATTTACAATAGCCTCAAAAAAAATCAAATACCTAGGTGTAAACCTAACAAAAGATGTGAAAGACCTCTACAAGGAAAACTATAACTTCTGAAGAAAGAGATTGAGGAAGACTATAGAAAGTGGAGAGATCTCCCATGCTCATGGATTGGTAGAATCAACATAGTAAAAATGTTATACTCCCAAAAGTAATCTACATGTTTAATGCAATTCCCATCAAAATTCCAATGACATTCATTAAAGAGATTGAAAAATCTACTGAAATTTATATGGAAACACAAGAGGCCACGAATAGCCAAGGCAATACTCAGTCAAAAGAACAATGCAGGAGGTATCACAATACCTGACTTCAAACTATATTACAAAGCAATAACAATAAAAACAGCATGGTACTGGCACAAAAACAGACATGAAGACCAGTGGAACAGAATAGAGGACCCAGATATGAAGCCACACAACTATAACAACTTATCTTTGACAAAGGAGCTAAAAATATACGATGGAGAAATAGCAGCCTCTTCAACAAAAACTGCTGGGAAAACTGGTTAGCAGTCTGCAAAAAACTGAAACTAGATCCATGTATATCACCCTATACCAAGATTAACTCAAAATGGATCAAGGATCTTAATATCAGACCCCAAACTCTAAGTTGATACAGAAAGAGTAGGAAATACTCTGGAGTTAGTAGGTATAGGTAAGAACTTTCTCAATGAAACCCCAGCAGCACAGCAACTAAGAGATAGCATAGATAAATGGGACCTCATAAAACTAAAAAGCTTCTGTTCATCAAAAGAAATGGTCTCTAAACTGAAGAGAACACCCACAGAGTGGGAGAAAATATTTGCCAATATACATCAGACAAAGGACTGATAACCAGAATATATAGGGAACTTAAAAAACTAAATTCTCCCAAAACTAATGAACCAATAAAGAAATGGGCAAGTGAACTAAACAGAACTTTCTCAAAAGAAGAAATTCAAATGGCCAGAAAACACATGAAAAAATGCTCACCATCTCTAGCAATAAAGGAAATGCAAATTAAAACCACACTAAGATTCCACCTCACCCCTGTTAGAATAGCCATCATCAGCAACACCACCAACAACAGGTGTTGGCGAGGATGCGGGGAAAAAGGAACCCTCTTACACTGTTGGTGGGAATGTAAACTAGTACAACCACTCTGGAAAAAAATTTGGAGGCTACTTAAAAAGCTGCATTGATCTACCATTTGATCCAGCAATACCACTCTTGGGGATATACCCAAAAGACTGTTACTCCAGAGGCACCTGCACACCCATGTTTATTGCGCACTATTCACAATAGCCAAGTTATGGAAACAGCCAAGATGCCCCACACTGACGAATGGATTAAGAAAATGTGGTATCTATACACAATGGAATTTTATGCAGCCATGAAGAAGAACGAAATGTTATCATTCGCTGGTAAATGGATGGAATTGGAGAACATCATTCTGAGTGAGGTTAGCCTGGCCCAAAAGACCAAAAATCGTATGTTCTCCCTCATATGTGGACATTAGATCAAGGGCAAACACAACAAGGGGATTGGACTATGAGCACATGATAAAAGCGAGAGCACACAAGGGAGGGGTGAGGATAGGTAAGACACCTAAAAAATAGCTAGCATTTGTTGCCCTTAACGCAGAGAAACTAAAGCAGATACCTTAAAAGCAACTGAGGCCAATAGGAAAAGGGGACCAGGAACTAGAGAAAAGGTTAGATCAAAAAGAATTAACCTAGAAGGTAACACACACGCACAGGAAATCAATGTGAGTCAATGCCCTGTATAGCTATCTTTATCTCAACCAGCAAAACCCCTTGTTCCTTCCTATTATTGCTTATACTCTCTCTACAACAAAATTAGAGATAAGGGCAAAATAGTTTCTGCTGGGTATTGAGGGGGGGAGGGGAGGGGGAGTGGGTGGTAAGGGAGGGGGTGGGGCAGGGGGGAGAAATGACCAAGCCTTGTATGCACATATGAATAATAAAAAAAAAAAAAAAAATGAGAAATAGTTTTAAAGTTATTGAAAAAAAAAAAATCCTTCATAAAAAAGGGCTGGTGGAGTGGCTCAAGGTGTAGTCCCTGAGTTCAAACCCCAGTAACACACACAAAAAAATACTCAGCAATTATCAATCCCCTCAATAAGGTATTGCCAACTTGAAAACAAGAAAGGCCAGTTCTTTTCATTAAATCAGTAATGATCAAGCAATGCACAAAAGCCAGTAACAGCAAGAAAAATGGCATAGAATTATTATCATCATAGGAAAATATGATTTTAAAGCATTTAATTTGTTTCACACCAAAAGAGCAATGCCTTTAGACTTGCATAAATCTATTATTCTACCTGCTAGAGTAGTATTTAGTGCTCAAAAATCAGATGGAAAAATTGTAGGTACTAGAATTCTCGATATTTCAATAGAATCTTTGAGTTAATATGAAGGTCTTTCATATAATAACAGTATAGAGTTCAGTGCTCAGAAGCTCTTGAGCCATATGAAAAAGGATCTTAACTGTTTGGTTACTTCCAATTTCTTTTGAAAGTTAAAAACTAAAAAAAATTCTAATAAAGCATTTAACAAAAATATATAATAAAACGTATAATGATGTTAAAATGTATTTTTTCCTTTTCCCAGGCCTCTGTGGGTAGAGTTCCCTGATGAATTAGAGACTTTTGGTGTGGAAGATGAATACATGCTGGGTGAGCATTTATAGATTAATTAAAGTTATAGTAAATACTGTAATTATGTTTTGTTGTATTTTCTAGTATGAGAGCACTTTTTAAAACCCTAAGTCCAGTTGGGCACCAGTGACTCATACCTATAATCCTAGCTACTTGGGAAGCTGAGATCAGGAGGATCAAGGTTTGAGACCAGCTCACTGAAATAGTTCGTAAGACCCCCATCTCCAAAATAACCAAAGCAAAATGGACTAGAAGTGTGACTCAAGCAGTAGAGTGCTTTCTTTGCAAGAGTAAAGCCCTGAGTTCAAACCCTAAACCCAAGAAAAACAAATTTTATAAAAACAAAAGAAATTCCTTCACCAAAATTTTAATGCATTGGTTGGACTGTAGCTCTATTCTGTTTTAAGGACACATTTTTAGTATTCTTACCAGCTTCAAAGAAATCCATTGTATTGGTGAATATAATTTGAATTTTTTTTAATTTGGGCTACTCCTGTAGGATTTTTTGAATCTTTTTGAGAGAGGGTCTTGCTATATAGGCCAGATTGGCCTCAAAACTCTGATCCTCCTATCTCAGCTTCCTGAATACTGGGATAACTGTTATGCGTCATCACAGCCAGACTTCTTTCTTTAATGAGGATTAACCATCAAATCTATAACATGGAAGTTTGTCCTCTTAGAGACAGGTGTCAAGAAGCAAGGATAAAACATCCCATTCAGAGAGTGAATCCCATTTCTAAACAGTGGAACCTCCAAATGTAAAAGAAATAAATAAAAAGAGCACTTGGCCTAGGGATGTAACTCAGAGGTAGAGCACTTGCCCAGCTCCTCCTTGCTTTCTAAAACCTTAATTCTACTCACCTCAGTCAAAGTCAGTCCCTCCTGTTACATAACTTTCATTCTACTTTGTACTTTGCCTCTTTTTGTCTTAACTCTAATTAATTTGTATTTACTTTTTAATATCTGTCTTCACATACTAAAAACTCCATGAGGGCAAAGATAAGCTTGTTTTATTTGCTACTATATTCCCAGATCCTTAGCACAGTACCTGGCATTCAGTAAATAAATATTTATTGAATAAAAGAATGAATTCATAAATGGATGCATTTTACACAGCTATGGTGCCAAGATCAAAGCAAAATAATTCATCCAGACTTCCCTTAAAAGAACTACAAGCTTCCCAGTAACTGCCACGAAGAAGAACCTGAGTAGCCACACTGACCACACTTCTGGATAACAGCTATGGGCTCACCTTCACCAACATCACTCAGAGCAAGTGATAACACACATGAAGAGGTGCAGTGGTGCTTTCAAATTACTGGCACACTAGTAGTTATACACAAAATGAGTCTGTGATAGACTGTGTCAGGGTCCCTTCCTATAATTCTAATATGCCATAAATATATTAGTCAGTTACCTCTTTGAGCCCTTGTCTTCTTTCTAACAAGGCATCTCTCTGACAAGTCATTGGTTCTACTCACCAGTCTCTGGCTTACAGAAGTTCACAATCTAGTAGTATTTAAAACCATAATAGTGTTCAATTAAAGGGAAAGGATGTTTTCAACTTCCTATAATGATATTCAATTTTATTTCCTTTCTATTATTTAGGTAGTGCTTTATTAGTTCATCCAGTTACAGAACCAAAAGCCACCACAGTTGATGTATTTCTGCCAGGATCAAATGAGGTAAGAGTTACAACAAACACCCACCAATTTCGTGTCTCTTACCTCTTACTCCTTCATTTCTTCATCATGCAGTTGTGACTATGCACCAAATGACTTTAGCAACCTTTTATAGGTCATGACCAATTTATCGGTGAAGAGGTGGAAGATGAATAGGTGATTACCCCAAGAAGTATCAGAGTGATTTTTTTATCTTCACACTTGTGTCACTGACTTGTGACAGTGAGTCCTTACAAACACACTGAGGCTTTGGGTAGGAAGAAATCATCAGAGTACCACGAGGTATTAAACTCTGGAGGAAACATAGGTGTAGAGAGACTTTGCTCTTTTGTTCTGCTCCCTCATAATCCTGAGTTTTGGTACCAAAAACATGTCTCCAGAAACTCACAAAAGTAGATAAAAAGTAATGAGAGTGACTTTCCTCTGCTGCCACCATCCTTCCTCTGTTCTTTTATTAGTTATTGTCATTATTGTCACCGTATAAAATATCATCCTGGACATGCTGGAGTCCAGAACATTAAACCCAGGCAGAGCACTGGGAGAGAGGTAGGAGAACAATAGTCCGCAGTCTGCAGAACAGAGAGACCACAGATGTATCCAAAGGGGCCAGGAGAAGCGGCAGGGCAGAAACGAGGGGCATTAGACTAGGGCCATGGAGGATCCTGGCTGGGATGAGACTGTCATGTCAAGATAGCTTTTGTTTTCTGAGGGGCTACCATTCAAACTGCCATACTTGTCATTAGTGATATGACAGTCTTTTCTCCAGAATGTTTCTGAATTATAGTTCTTCCTCTTGGTTTCTCCAGTAACTTGGAGTTCTGAAGTGGAGGGCTCTTTACAAAGGTTCCCTGCCAAGTAGAAACCTGAGTAAAAGGTTATGTACAACAGCAACTAAGTAAATGTTCCTCCTGAGCACGTCTTCTGTGAGTTTCTCAAGTTGATTCTAGCAAAGTGCTGGATTCACTTTAAAAGGACTAGCTCCCTTTCTAACTTAGCCAAGAATTTTTATCAATTATTTGTCATCATTGCAAACATATGTACTACATTCCTTCAACACCTTTTCCCAGAGTGTTCTGTGATTGTTTCTCTTGCTACACCTTCACAAACCGTGGGTGAAATAGCCAAGCTGTTATTTTTCTTTATTTTTTATTTTTATTTATTTATGCATTTATTTTTCAGTGATGGAGTTTGAAGCCAGGACCTTGCACATGCTAAGCAAGCACTCTACCACTGAGCTATATCCCCAGCCTTCATTCTAATTAGTTCCGGAAATGGAAGCTAGGCAATTCCCAACCTTATTTGAATCAGCTTTTTACCTTTCACCTCCACCAGCTCTTTATCTAAATCTACTGGTGTCAGCTTGGAGAGAAAACCAGAGAAGGACATGCAAGAAAAGAAAGCTAAGACAATGTCCCTCATAAACACAGACACAGAGATCCTTTACAAAACATTAGCAAGCTGAATTTAATCAAGGATATCGCATCATGACCACAGTGTAGTTGATCTTGCTGAATTAAGAGTTCACTGCTGCTAATGATGGTCAAGTCAGGCCTGTCACCTTCACAGCAGGACAATGACAGACTCAACAGCCCTGCTATATAAAGGGTGTGGTAATCCCAGGAGGTGAACTTGCAACATAGACTCTGTGGCTGCCAGGAAGAGTACTGAGCTAGAAAAGAGAAATTGGGGTACTTGTTTTCATGCCCCTTGTGATGGTGTTTTAAGGATTATTCCATCACATCTCTGTGGGACTTTTTTGGTAGTTCAGCAGCTAACCCTCTTGATAGGATCCCAGATAAGAGTTAAAAGCTCATCTCTGACTTGTATGCTCTGTTAAAAAGTGATGCCATGTTAGTAATCAGGCTTCCATTTGGTTTCCTCTCAAATCTGTTTCTCCAGTGCTTTTTCTCTTCTCCTGTCACATTTTTAATCCATTTGCCTGCAATGTGCATTTCTTTGTTGTTGTTTTCTCTTTCATCATCTTGTTCACTGCTAGAAGCATTAAGTTTTTGTAAGCCAAGTGGACAATAAGAACCTCGAGGCAGGAACTATGTTTTCTCTTTCACTCATGTAGGGACCTTAGTTATGAATATGTAGCATTTAGCACAGTGGTAGATTATTCAGTAAATCACTTTTGAATGTAGAGATGGATATGGAATGGCTTTTTAGTTAATCAGTCTTGTAACTGGGATCTTCTTGAAAGCATGTTTTTCCTAACTTCCAAGATAAAATAAACAAACCTTTTTCTTTTTGGTGGTACTAGGGCTTGAACTCAGGGCCTCTTGCTTGCTAGGCAGGCACTCTCTCATTTGTGCCACATCTCCAGCTACAAGATTTAAAATTATATTTATTTTAGCCTTCTGGGTATTTAAAATGCAGATAAATAAATGTCTTACTCCATAATGAAATTGTGAGTAGAGTTGCTCATAGACTCTTTTCACTGGGATCTGTTATTTTTTAGATCTGGTATGACTATAAGACATTTGCTCATTGGGAAGGAGGATGTACTGTGAAGATTCCAGTAGCCTTGGATACTGTAAGTTATTTTCAGAGTATTATATTTAGCCATTGTGTTATATTAGTCAGCTCAGACTGCCAACAAGGGAAGGTACTTGTAGGGTCAGGGGGAGATAGATGTGCTTTACTTCTTGGTTGATGAAGGGTAGGTACTGTCCCTGCCAGTTAAAAAAAATAGGCACTTTTTAGTGAAGCCCTTTTCCTTTTAATGCCAGGGCCCCCATGTTTACTATTGTGTGCCCACAAATTTATTTTGCCCTTGAGTCTGTACTTGTAAGGAGTGTGAATCTCATACAATGAAATATTCTAAAATTCCTGTAAACAAGTATGTCTTCCCTGAGAGTGCTGCTCTGTTACAGATACCAGTGTTTCAACGAGGTGGAAGTGTGGTACCAATAAGGACAACCATAGGGAAGTCCACAGGCTGGATGACTAATTCCCCATATGGTCTCCGGGTTGCTCTAAGCACGAAGGTATATGGACAATTGGTTAGCCTTTTTGTTATTACTCTGTCTCTTTACAGTGGTAGCCTTTTGAAGATATGACACCATGTAAAAATAGTGGGTCCCATCTACAAACTAGGTGTTTCTGATGTTTGCCTACGAACATCAAGGTTTTGAATTATTTCTTTTATATATTTGTGTATCTATTTAGACAGGGTATCTCTGTAGCCAATCTGGCCTCAAACTCGTGACCCTCTTCCCTCAGCCTCCTTAGTGCTGGGATTATGGCCTGTGCCACCATACACAGCTTGAATCTTTTCTAACTATTGTCCATCTAGTCTGCTCTTTCTAGAATTGTTCATAGGGGAACTCGTAGATGTGGCCATGGTGATTGCTGTCACGTGTCTTCCTTGGGCACATGACTGTTGGTGCACTTCAGCATGGCACTGATTACTACCAGACTAAAAGCTCATTAGGCCATAGGCAGCTTGCTCCTTGGATTAGCCCTGAAACCCAGTCTCTTGCAAAAGTGCTCCTGTGTCTATATACATTTCGGGACACTTCCCTCCCCACCCCCAGTCAATGATTTCTATTTCATCAGCTGGTTCAAACACCTAAATCCTCCTTGAGTAAAGCCTGGAAGATCCAGAACTGATTTGAGATCTTTTGAACCAAGAGAGACCTTTATCATACTCCTCCCCTATCTATTTACCCAAATACATTACAGGAACGAACACAAATTCTTACTCTTCTTTTTTTTTTTTTTAAAGTCTTTAAATAATACTATGTATGAAGCTGCTTTAAGCTACCCTTGAGTAATATACCTGCTGGAGTTTGGCAGTACTGGAATTTGAACTCAGGGCCTTGCACTTGCTGGGCAGGAGCGCTACTGCTTGAGCCATGCCTCCAGCCCAAATTCTTACTCTTATTAAAGGAGTAGTTACTCTTATTTATATTAATATTATAAAGTAATTTAGTAAGTTGCAGCTTTCTTTTCCATCTATTTCACTTGCATGCCTTCTTGGTTCAAAGTTTGGGTCTTGGACCCATGTGAGGTTCCAGAATAAATGCAAAAGGCTAGAGATCAATAGCACATCAAATATTGTCAATAACACTAACCTGCCATGTGGTGTGCCGTGACACTGCTTGACATGCAAAACAGGTCCTCCTACTTAAAAAAAGTATGAGCCAGATATCATTCTCTAAATGGAAGGTCTTCTGAAGATGGTTGATCTTATCTATTGCATACCATTTTTTAACTTTGGTTTTGTTCTGTGAACTTTCTTGTCCTTGTCACATTCTGGGATAGTATTTTTAGGGAAAACACACCACTGACCATAGCTCATAGTTTAAATTTCTTTCAACAAGGTCTTTTTGTGCTCTTTGTAACTAACTTCCTTATTCATATTATCTTATTATCTATTCAGGGGTGACTGGATATTGAATATGTTAGGTATTATATGACTACTTTGTGAAGCTTGAATATTAAGTATTTGTTAAATATTGTTTCCTGTTAGGAGCTGACTTTTTTTTTTTTTGGTGGTGGTGGTAAAACTGGGGTTTGAACTCAGGGCTTTGTGCTGAGCAAAGCAGATGCTCTACTGCATAAGCCAACCTCCAGCTCCTAGGACTGACGTTCTTTTCCTATAAAGCTATTTATATTATATATAAGCAAATTCTCTGTCATTCACTTTCCAGGATTCTGCAGTGGGAGAGGTATATCTTGATGATGGTCATTCATTCCAATACCTCCACCAGAAGCAATTCTTGCACAGGAAGTTTTCATTCTGTTCCAGTGTTTTAAGCAACAGGTAATAGCAGCTAAAGAAGCTATGTATATCTTAAATAAATTATGCCCTTTTGGCATCCTCAAGTAAATAGATAGCTGGTTTTAAATTGTCATTTAAAAAAATGGATAGTGAAGGCCATTCGTGGAGTATTTTTCAGTCACTGACTCTGAATGTTCCTTCCCTATTGTTTTCATTTTATTCCCCCCGCCCCGTCTAAAGAATAAAAGGACTCAATTTCAGTATCCATTGATACTATTCATCCTTCCACTCGCCAACTCATTGATTTCTTAAAGTTTTATTACAAATCCACATCATGCTTGTCACTTCAGTGACTTCACCCATATGACTTGTTACAGAGAAATTGATTTGACTGCTGGGTAGCTAGTTCTTGGACCATAAGCCATTCTTTTTCTTCTCTTCATCCTAATTATTGAGTCCTGTATGGACCATGACTCCAAAGGGACAGATGGGAGAGGCATTCATAAGGTTGGAGACGTTGCCCTGGTAACCACTTCAAACCTCCATCTCTCTCCTTCTCCTAATACCATTTGTATCTATTCCAGTTGTGCTGATGAGAGGGGTCATTATCCCAGCAAGTGTGTGGTGGAGCAGATCTTGGTCCTAGGCCTCAAGAAGAAGCCATCTTCTGTGAGCACCCACTCATCTGGTAAGGAAACTGTTCATTCTTACCTCAGCTATAGAAGTGTCTGTAGCAAGGAGATGAATTGTCCCAAAACAGGTGTAATATGCTTAGTCTAAGTGGACACTGCACTTTCTGATAGAGGTCAAGTATTCTTGCCTCTACAGTGAGTGAGGCCATCCTGCTCCCTTCATGAACTGGTCTTCCTGCTTATAGTTAATATTTTTCTAAGGGAAATTATTTGGGGTTTGAAATAATATTGTCAGTATCTCTTAATGTTTTTGTTTAAACTATGGATATCTAGAGCCCTGGAGAATAGTATCCATGTTTATGGAGTTTATGAAAGGGGATAGAATGGGAATTACATCCTTCCTTACCTACTGAATCTCTTGGATAAGTCACTTTGTTCTTTAAAGTTTCTATTCAACCAATGTTATACTCAAAACAATGAATTTTCCATGTTTTAAATATTCACAAAAGTTCATGAATAAAAGTGTTATTAAATTAGATTCTCATAAGGTTTTATAATACAGTCAGCAACATGTCAGATTTGAAAGAAAAATCTTTCCTAGATATTCCTCAAACTCTCCCTCTTTTATTGTCTTGGTATTTAGATGGTAAAGATCAGCCTGTGACTTTTACATATTATGCCCAAACATCCACTCTGAGCCTGGAGAAGCTTTCCCTGAACATTGGTGCTGACTGGGAGGTCCACATCACGTGACAAAGACGAGCCCTTGGTGATGTACACGGGAGCTGCCTGCATCTGTGTACCCTTGCCTTGGTCTTTTTTGAGATTTGTGCTGCAATCTAGTTGGCTTCGTTGGCTTAAAATAATCTTTCACTAGTCTCTAGTGTACTGATGAATTTCATATTTTAAGATCTCATATTTCAACCAGACTTAGTGTTGCAAGCACTTGGGAAACAGAAGCAGGATAATCATGAGTTTGAGACCAGCCAGACATGGCGGTACATGCCTATGATCCCAGCTACTTGGGGAACAGAAGTAGGAGGATTATGGTCTGTGATTGATCTGGGCAAAAGAGTGAGACCTTAGCTGAAAAAATTAAAATCCGAAAAGCTTGTGGTGTGGCTCAAGTAGTAGAACACTTGCTTAGCAAGCACAAGGCCCTGAGTTTAATTCCAAGTACTGCCAAAAAAAATGATTTCAGATTTTTTAAATGTATTAGTAATGCTCTGTACAAATACTGCTCTTGTGAACCCACAGAGCCCTAAGACATTGCTAGAGTTCATAAGTTTTATTGCCTCTTGGACTATGTCCTGTGGTGAGTTCTGCAGCCCAGTGCGCAGCCTCTCCTGGAGCAGAACTGCATGGATTTGTTTTCATGTGGGCTGAGCCAACTCAGGAGGTCCATCGTTGGGGTTTGCTTGGGCCATGAGGCTCAGTTGCTCTGGCTACTGCAGCAGAGTTGCCCAAGGCCAATCTCCAAGTGAACAGTAGCACCTGGTTTGACCTACAATTATCTTTCACCCACATCAAAGTGGACAAAACAACCCTGTTCTGAGAACACTGCATAGGCTGCAGCAGTGGCCCCCATAGACACTGACTCAGGAGCACAAATGATTTTCCCTCTGTGCAGCACAGGTCAAAATTCCAAATTAATCTTCTTTGAATTCAAATTTCCTTGTTTTAATTGCTTTTTAATTAAATACTATCTACTAGCCAAAGAATATTTATATGAATAAATTACTGTGAATAATAGTAAAATAAATACCATGTATCTACCTCTGAACTTCAGAAATAGAACACAGAGCTGGTCTAGGATAAGGCAAGTGAGAGGCACTTGCCTTGGGCACAATAAAAAATTAAGTAATATTTTAAGGTACCATTTTTTAAAATCAAGATTAATACAAAAGCATACTGAGCGAAATACCGAAGTTTTAAATAACTACAGGCTTAGCATTAGGCTCCAATCTGGCTTGTTTGGAACAGAACATTATACCATACCAGTTGTTCTGGAGACCCCAGATGACTCCCTGCTGCCTCTCACAGCAGCTGTTGGAGCAGCCTCAACTCCTCGGTGCTCCTCAGTATGCACATTTGCTTCTCAGGCTTCCTCCACCTAGTTCCTTACAACTGTCACTTTTGTGCCTTCCACTCCCTGCAGGGACCACAATATCCTTTCCTCCCTCCACCTACACAAATCTCACCATACCTAGAGGCCCAATCCAAATCCTGCTGTTCCTGAAGCCGTTCTAACTTCCCTAACGCCTCAACACCTAGTACCCACTAGCAGTGATTTTGCCCTTCTCTGAAATGCTGCCCCACATATAGGTGTGCCCTACTTTGCATTCTAAGAGACTGTACCTTAATGCTTCAAGGATGTCTGTCTTTTTCCCTGCTACATTGTATGTTCTTTAGGAGCATGTTATACGTCTAATATTCACCGCAGCACCATTACACTTGACCGTCAGAAACTGTTGGCTGTGATTGGTTAACTGGAGGATTGGAAAAAAAGTGAGAGCTGAATATATTTGTTTCTGATTTTTTTTTCTGACACATGCTCTTTCCAAGTGCAGTAAACATTGTGCATTTCCTCATGGACACATTTCATTGTATCATTTGAGATTTGAGTTTTCCTTTGTATATAAGCTCAGGTAGACACATGCAGATTCCTTGCTTCTGTATGGTTTTCAATTGAGGAGAAAGGAAGAATCATAGATGAGTCTTAGTTCCCAGCTTCAAATTTCCCCTTGCCAATTTAAAATAAGACTTAGCCTGAATACTGAGTGTTCTTCCCCAGTATAAATGGTTTTTATTAACACTTAGAGTTTAATAATTAAAGGCTTTTTAGGATGACATTTATTGCATGTCTATCATTCTGTTTAAAATATGTTTGGAGAAAGAAAGTAAACATGAGCTAGTAGAGTAAGTTCGTGAGGAACTGTTCTGTTGGCTCAAATCTATACTGCAACATTTGACTACAAACAACTGGGGAGAAATATAGACCTGGTGTTTTTAATTGTTGTCTGCTCTTGTTGTTTCTCACACTTTACCTGCCTTTTATTTTCAAAGTTATGTACCAGAGAGGATTCCCTGGGGCTAATTGGCCTACAGGTATTCAATTACCTTGTTGTGGCTAATTCTTGATAAGTTTTCATAAGAAATTGGATTTTTATGCAAGAAATTAGAATCCCTTCAATGCAGATTCTAACAAAGCTCTAAAATGAATACATAGTATCTTTTCTTCAAGACTTAAATGCCAAGAAATGAATTGGCAGATTTTCACTTTACAAACAGAAAAATGGGCAAAGATAACACAAAAGAATTGAAAGCATATGAAAGGTACTCTGCCTCATTCATAATCAAATGATTTTATTTCTTGCTTGATTAGCCAAGATTTTAAAAGAATGAAAATGTCCAGCTCTGATGAGGATATGGTGAATAGACCCTCTTTCACATCATAGTAAAATTATAATTACCTTTTAAATTTGCATAGCCTTGGGCTGGCAGCATGGCTCAAGTGGTAGACTGCCTGCCTAGCAAGTACAGAGCCCTTGAGTTCAAACCCTACTACTGCCAAAAAAAAAGGTTTGCATAAATTTGCATAGCCTTGCCCAAAAATTCCACTTCAGATAAATCAGAAAAGAAAGCCAGAGCTACTAAGTGCAGTGTGATTTATACTGTGGAAAATTAAATAAACTGAGCATGGTTGCACATGTCTGTAATTCCATCACTTGGGAGGCAGAGGCAGAAGGATTGAGAGTTCAAGGCCAGCTTGGGTTTCATTGTGGGACACTGTCTCAAAAAAACAAAACAAAACCTGGAAGTAAGCTAAATGTCCTTTAATAGGATGTTAAAGGGGAATATTATGCAAATAGTAATCTAGCTCATGTGACAGAGCAGAATCTTGCCTATCGCTTGCAAGATTCTGAGTTCAAACCCCAGTACCAGGGCTGGATGCATGGCTCAAGTGGTTGAGCACCTGCCTGGCAAGTGTGAAGCCCTGGGTTCAACCCCTAGTACTGCCACAAAAATGTGCCAGCAAAACAAATAATAATAAAATAACAATGTATATGTATCAACATAGAAGGCTTTAGCCAGGCTAAAGGCTGCAGTGCCACCACAAGGCCACTAGAATTAGACAGTTGCTTCTTGACTGCTGTTTCCAGCAGTGTGCTGATGGTATTAGATTCCTTTTAGTCAGAGCCAGGGGGAGGGGAGTCCTACTTGTATGAGGATCCAGACATCTTCTGCCTAATTCACATTTATGAAGTCTTACACATGCATTTACTTCTTCACTGGAAATCAGGAGACCTGGGTTCCAGTTTGGTTTCATAGTAAACTAGTTATGCTATTTAATCTCTCTGGGCCTCATTTGTTCAATAAAATCTTAGTCTATGAATTTTTTGTGATTTAATTATAAAATTATAGCAGATACCTCATTTTTCAGTCATAAAATGGGATTATTCCTGCCTACATAGTTGTTCTACAGATTAAAAATACTCTACGTATATGGAAAGGGAAAATAGCATCTTTACCATGGAGAAACCTAGTAGACACCACCTTAGCCAAGTGGTAAATTTCACACCACTGTAATAAAACAATATCATGTACCCTCAAATATGATTTTAGGAGAGCATATCACATCTGCGATAGTCTTGCCCCAAATCTTTAACCTCAGTCTAATCACCTGGAAAACATCAGACAAGGGCTGGAGGCATGGCTCAAGTGGTAGAGCGCCTGCCTAGCAAGCATGAAGTCCTGAGTTCAAACCCCAGTACTCCAGAAGAAAAAAAAGACAAACATTAGACAAACCAAAGTTGGGGGACATTTATCAAAATACCCAACAAGTACTATTCAGAAGTGTCAAGGGGGCTGACAAAGTGGCTCAAGTGGTAGAGTACCTGCCTAGCAAGCATGAGTTCAAATCCAACACCACCAAAAGAAAAAAAAAGTGTCAATGGCATAGAGACCAAAGCTATAGAATTGTCACCAATTGGAGGACATTTGAGAGTTCTATCTTTGCAACTCTTATATAACTGTAAAATTATTTTTAAAGTTATTTTTTAAGAATTCCGTGTGAAGTGGCTAGCTTACACTCAATGAATGGTAAATGTTATAACTGTAAGCAAATACATCATTTTCAATAGTGTTGTGTAAAAGAAATATTTTTTGGTAGAAAATACTGTGATAAGGGGCTAGTGGAGTGGCTCAAATGGTAGTGCTCCTGCCTAGCAAGTGTGAGGCCTTGAGTTCAAGCCCCAGTGCTGCCAAAAAAAATAATAATAGTAAATAAATAAAAATACTGTGATAAGAAGCCATTAGTTAGCTCTGTTGTTCAGCCATAAATACTGCATAACATTGGCTGAAATGTGTCATTAAAGCTAGTTCTTTAACTTGGAAGTGGTTTCTAGGAGTTGTAATGTACAAATATTTATGTCCTAATTATCCACCCTTTGTTCATGGGGTCAAATTGGATTTCTCCATGATAGCATGAGTTTCACAGCTGTGCTGCTGAATAAACCTTGAGTTTGACCCTGAGCATCTGAGGGGATGTTTTATCTACAACATTTATAGAGCAAAATGAAGAGCACCTTGCCACCTGTGCTAGATATTCCCATCCTGCTCTGAGAGAAGGCTCACCCTGTCACACAGTTGTCTTAGATACTAACAAATGGAGCTGACATAGACAGCGGAGGAGAGCAAGCTCAGCAGGTGTGAGGCCCAGAGATAGCTCCTCCCCCAGGAGCCATTCAGCCAAGGACCTGTGATTGCCCCAGCAAAGTCTTACTTAAGACTTAAGAATTCCACACAGGGAAATTTCATTCAACAGATACATAACACACATTTATCAAAGGCCTTCAATGTACTTAAGCCTGAGGATGGAATGGGAACATAGTCCCACCTTCACAAGTCTTGTGAGCAAACAGGAAGTTAAATAAGATGAAATGATAAAACATGGGTCAGTGTTACAAATTTCAGGGTAGTGTAGAGAACCAGGGCTGAGAGCCAAAATTATGATGGTGGGGAAGGAAACCCCACCTTTGCTGTCTGGGCCATTGGCCAGTTTGAGGATGGGCATCAATCATTTTAGAGGGTCTTGAAGCCTCTGGTTGGAGACACTGTGCGCCACATGAACCAGGCAGATGACAGGAAGGTTCCTGTCCTGCAGGGAGGGGAGATATTCAGTAAATTCTCATAGAATATTTGCTGATTTGCACCGTTAGCGCTACGGTTTGGGATGAGTGACTCCCAAAACTCTGTTTGTTAAAGGCTTTCTTTGTCCCTAGGGTAGCATTTCTGAGATGTGATAGAACCACTAGGAGGTAGGACTTAGAGGGGGTGGGTCCATAGGGCATTGGGTGGGTGCCCTCAAAGAGGATTGTGGGATCCTGCCCTTTCCTCTTCCTCTTTTGATTCCCAGCTATGAGATTAGCAGTTTGGCTCTACCATAAGTTCCCACCCTGATGTGATGCCTTGCCACAGTCCCAAAATAAGGTGGCCAATTGATATGGACTGGAACCTCCAAAACCGTGAGCCAAAATAAATCTTTTCAGCAGGAATGGTGGTGTACACATGTAATTCTAGCACTTAAGAGCCCAAGGAAAGAGCATCAGGAGTTTGAGGCCAGCCTGAGGTACATAGTGAGAACTTGTCCAAAATAAATAAATAAATAAACCTTTTCTCTACATAACTTGATTATCTTATGTATTTCATTATAGTGATGAAAAGCTAACACAATGAGTAAATATATCACTCAATCTGATATAACTCCAAAGTAATATTAAATTCAGGTTTTTTGTAATACCATTTACTGAGTGTTTAAGACACCGTGACAATAGTGTAAATGCATTACATAAATTAGCTTGTTTAATCCTACACCAATCCAATAACAGAAAATCATTGTACCCATTTTTTAATTGAGAAAATGGACACATGAGAAGAAAGAAGAGGTAACTCAGCTGAAGTTAGACAGGCACAGCCAGTAAGTGGCCAACCCAGACTTTGAAACTGAGCAATCAACCTCTAGAGACTGCTGTCCTCTATTCTGCCTCTCCAAGAGTAGTAAAGGTCATTGGTCATTTTCTTGGAGAGACAAGATAGGCTCATGGTCTCTACAAGCTCAGACACTGGGTTCCTACAAGCTTCAACCCTGGTCGTACTCCCTGTTCTGGCTTATCAGTTTGCACCTTCTTCCATAGCTTCTAAACTTGGATCCATGAGACTGGTCATGTGGGAACAGTCTGTGACCAGACTCTACTCCACCAGACTTGGATGCAGACATCTCCTTATAGCCCTGAGAGCAGCTACCATGAGTAGAAGTCCAGGCAGGCAACTCCCTTCCTCACAGCCACTTAAGCTCTCATCTAAGAGTCCTGAAGCCAGCTATGACATCCTAGAACTTGACACCAACCTGGCTCAGAATCCATTTCCAATTTCTATCTCAGATGCTAATGTAGCATGGCTAAATAGTCAATAAATAACCTACTCAGATTCACTTTTCGTGTCATATTTCGTTCCAGTGTCTATTTGGGGGCTGGGAAGTTACAAGATGAGGCTAGGTCAAGTGGACAAGAAGAGACGGGTTTCATCTATTGAGGACTCTGCTGAGTAGCATTTTCCTCCTGGACAAATCCACTGAGCACTGACACCAGAACATTCTAGAAGAGATGCTGAATCCAGTATTGATTAAGTTCTGATAGCCTAGAGTTTTAAAAAGTAAAACTCATGCTCTCTAAAATGCACAGAATATTCCCCTAGAATCCAGTACCTTACATTCCAGCTAGCTTTTTAAATGTTGTTTTCTCTTTAATTTGATGGCCAAGAGTTTGATAATCTGGATAAATGCCTATTCCCTAACACATCAACAGCTCTTGGCTGATTTTTGGTACTCACCTTATTTAGATACTCTTATTTCCTGACCACCTGTAGCCCTTGATGGCAACACAGAAATATCTCTAACCAGGTCCTTCTCTATCTCCCATTCAGTCTAGCCACACATTAGGCTCTCTCTTACTCTCAGACTCACGATCTTTCTTCACATCTATTTTTAGTTTTCCTGGCTCAAGCTTCTTCAGGCCACTGAAACACAACCCTCATTCTCTTTCTTTCCCTCTGGCATGCATGCTGCTGGTAGGAGGCTCCCAGGTAAAAATTGCTACGAAATCTTTTGGTACTCCTTCCTCAGGAAAACCTATGGCTTCAGGAGGAACAGAAGGATAGGTTAATGGATGGCTCAGTTTTTTAAGCTGTATATAAGTTGGACGACCTTCTGATGGGCTTTAAACTTCGAATTGGATGTGGACATTTTCCTCTCAGATGACAGAATCACGCCAAGTTCCCCTTTGCAACTGATTTCTTTCCTTGAAGGTAGCTGTGTCTTGTTTTCTTTAAAAATTTCTTCCTTCCAAAGTCGCCTGCCATGCCAACCGTCATCAGCGCATCCATGGCCCCACAGACAGGGGCTGAGCCCAGGTCACCGGGGCCAGTTCCCCACCCAGCCCAGGGCAAGACCACTGAGGCTGGGGGTGGACAACCAAGCGGCATCTATTCAGCCATCATCAGCCGCAATTTCCCTATTATCGGAGTGAAAGAGAAGACGTTTGAGCAGCTTCACAAGAAATGTCTAGAAAAGAAAGTTCTTTATCTGGATCCTGAGTTCCCACCGGATGAAACCTCTCTCTTTTATAGCCAGAAGTTCCCCATCCAGTTCATCTGGAAGAGACCTCCGGTGAGTAGCTTACTGGTTGCTGCTTGTGGTTTTGCCCTGGGAGAAGTCCTCCCACTCAGCACTTCCCGGCAGCTCAGCTGTGCCCATGGGCACTTGGGGAAGGACCCTGGCAGTGGCCCTGCTGTGCTCTGTCCTCAAGTGTGAAGAAGGAAGGAGAGGGACAAAATTTAGACATTTTACCAAACTGAGAGGAGAGACCCGCTCACTCTCATTTCTTGCTTTCTCTCTCTCTCTCTCTCTTGCTTTCTCTCTCTCTCTCTCTTGCTTTTTATGAAAGTGATTAGAACTTAGACTCAGTTTAATTCATCTTATAAAAGTAATCCATCCCCAGAACAAATTCCAAACAGTCCAGATGTACTCTCTCTATGTAAGTATCCTGCGTCTTTGAAAGATTCCTTCTACTTCTTAGGTTAAAATCATGATACTGTTCTTCAGTTTGCTAGTGACTGTGGATTTCAGAAACACGGAAGCCCTAGAAAGAGGCAGGTGGGAGGCAGAGGCTACTTTTCAAGCATAAAATGTTAGGATTAGAGAAATCCTAGCACTCATTTTTGTCCACGTTCCTCACCACACATATGAGGAAATCCAGGTTCACAGAGTGAAATATATCTGAAGAGCACATGACAGAACCTGGATAAAAACTCTACCCTCTTAGGGAACTCTTCCAACCTCTGGGTTTCATTTAAAGAGATCTACCAGAAAGAAATTATGTTCCTCTGGCTCCCTTCTCTGGTCATTCCTCCAGTATGACTCTTGATCTTAATTTAAGATTATTTTGGTCAAGAAGTAATTAGGGGCTGGGGGTGTTTGTGTGTCTCATTCCTGAGGTCCTGTGTTCAATCTCCAGCCCTGCAAGAAGAGATATGTGTGTGTGAGTGTGTGTGTGTGTGTGTGTGTGTGTGTGTGTGAGAGAGAGAGAGAGAGAGAGAGAGAGAGAGAAAATGAATTGCTATAGAAAAGAAAATATTTATTGAGCATCTACTAGTTTCAGACACTGGGCAAGTAACTGAGGAATTAGCAGTGAAAAAGAAAAAAAAAATTCTGCTCTCTTATAGCCTAGAGCCCTGAGGGGAAGATCAGCATTGAATATTGAACAATAGTGACTGTTAGGAGTCAGGGTTCAGGGTGGCATGGGATCAGGTAGCAAGGACAGTTAACCAAATCTGTGGAGAGAATCCCTCCATGAAGAAACAGTGTAGGGCTGACACCCAGCGCCATGCATCCACCATGTTCTTCTTTATCAAGCTGAATTGGAATGCCCAACTGCCCATGTGTGCCACAAGGGCGCCTTTCCTTTTCTGATGGCTCTTTAGTAAGGCTCATGACTGTCATGAAGACCCTCAGTTCCAAGAGACTGCCACAATGGGCTGGGGGTGTAGCTCAGTGGTATAATGCTCCTCTTTCCCTAACGTGTGAGACCCTGGGTTCCATTCCAGGCTGTCCTCTGCCTGGAATGCCCTTGTTGTTTTTAGCTGAACCAGAGTTAGCTGGTTGGCTCCTCCTCATTCTTGTTCCAAAACTGCTCAGGTGTCACTTCCGTGAAGCTTTCTCCTGTCCCTTCCCCCTTCACTGAGAGCAGGACACATTCCTGTTCATCTTTAGACCTCCTAACCCAGCACAAGCCAGACTCCCAGTAGGGACACAGCTGATGGCAGTGCTACCCTCCCCGCCCCCCACCAACCTAGGTCAGCCCTGTTTTCCAAGGTGGAGCGCTCTTGGAAGCCTAGTCTAATACTACTACAGAGGACAGGGACCAAAGCATACAAATACTGCTTTTATTGAAATCACTATTGAACTTGAGCCTTAAAAGCTAGACTTGCAAATTAATAGAAATGTTCAAAGGGCCTGTAATGCTCAAAGCACTACTTGGGTCCCAAAAGTTACCACTGTCTGTGTCTCAGTGTGGGATGATACACACCAGAAGACTTGTCTGTTTTAAATTGTGCTCCCACCACCATCACCAACAGCAAAGATCCTGAATTTCCTACTCTTTAAGTTACCTAAGGAGATGGCCAAGGTCACTGTTAGTTAAAATGCCAGTGTGACCTCCTTGGGGGTTTGAACACTGTCTTGGGTTCATTAGTGTAAATTAGAAAATAGAATTAGAGGTTGACAGAGTTGGAATGGATCTCGGAGATGTCCAAGTCCTTTAATTTGGAAGTGAAATGATGAAGGTCTAGAAAAGGCAAATGACTTATCTAACAGCCATACAAGTTGTTTAAAATTGAAAAACTGAAATGACTCCAGAACTTTCTGGAATATAAAGCCCTTCTTGGAAACATCAGTCTGTCCATGCACTTTCTTAAAGGTAGTGCTCTCTGTCAGATTTGAGCGATCTGAAAAGGAGACTGTCCTATGGGGAAAAGCATCTGGCATACTCACCTTCACTCCCATTTCACTGGTGTTTGCCCTCCTTCCTACCTGCTGCTAGCATTATAATCCCATATCCAGCTGTGCTGTGCCCAGCTGTCTACCTCACTCTTATCCTTGCACTTTACTCCTTGGCTTTGCTAGTTCCCTCTGCCAACACCTGGACCTAAAACAACCCTTTGCCAGTCAGACAGCAACCCCCCTCCCCACCAAAAAAAACCTCCAAACAGGTGACCTTATTGCTTATTTCATACCTGAAAATCTCTTGAATTAGGCTCTTTGTAAAGGATAATTGAGATAAGTTTCCCAAGCTGCAACTCATCACAAACTGTATTTTATCAAGTCAAGAAGATTTCCATGCTAGTACTTTCTGATCTTAGAGTATCCACGGAGGGTCATGACCGCCCCCTTTCTCCCACCCCCCCACTTTCTACTATAAGATGCACGTGATTTCAGAGACATGAGGGGAAGGAAGAAACACCCAAAAATGCAAAAATAAGACAAAGGAGATGAGATGCCTGTCCCACTCAGCTTACAGTTCTGCATCCCCATCCTACTTTTCCTCCCATGCTCTTCCTTCCTCCATGCTGCTTGTCAACATGGCTCCATCCACGCCAGCTGGCTGTTGATGCTCTTGGTAGGATCTGCTCTCTTGGCCCTTCCCAAGATCTTCCCATCCAGGAAGAACCATCTTCTCCCTGAAGCTGTTAACATCAGAGGAAAAAGAGAATACTTCTCATGCAGCTAATTACTGCTGCAGAATTTTCTTTCATTCTTTACACATATTTAGCCAAATGTGCTTACTCTCTAAGTCCTTAACATGGAAGAAACCTTCTACTTATTTCTTCAAGAGGAAAACCCATAAGAAAAAATTAGCAGGATTCTTGTAATTACAGTATTTGAGCCAGGTGTGGTGGCTCACACCTGTAGCTCCAGCTACTAAGGAAGCTGAGGCAGGAGGATCTCTGGAGTTCATGTGTTTGAGGCCAGCCTGAGCAACAATAGTGAGACCCTGTCTCTAAAAAAGAACAAAAAGTACTTTCTTTCTAGGAGTGAACACGATTTTTTTCTAGAGGAAAAAAGTTGGAGGAAGGCTAGAACTAAAATATAGGTGAGAACCCCAGGACAGACAGCCATTCACCTGGTGCTAGCCCTCTCCATGGCTTGACCCTGACAGACAAATCTACGGATGAACTTGTGAAACATCCAAGTCAAGTAACCTTTTGGTAAAGGGCAGAGACTTGCACTGCATCTTGATTACACTGGTCTGAGCCAATATACCGGAAGTCAGAGTGTGGAAAGCACAGAAGTGTGGAAAGAGAGAGAAGCAAAAAGAAGGAAACTGCCAGGAACTCACTGAGCTGTGCCTGCTCACAGTGGAGGTGTGGGTTTAAGACATGTTTAACAGAATCTCCAAGGAAGCCCAAGGGCCACTAACATGTGAGAAGCATTCTTTTTCAAAGAAGTAAAGCTTAAACAGTTTTTATCCAAACTTCAAGGTTAAATAATCACCACTAGAACTTTCTGCAGGAATTTATATACACTAGGACACCAAGAATATAGTAGAAAAACTGCTCTTAAACACTCCTTCATTGGAGCAAAATGTTTAGGAACTACTGCTGTCAGCCATTCAAGATAGCTTTCTTTCCTGATGTGAAGGTTTGAAAGCGCAAAGGATGCCTCCTCCCCTTGAGTAAGCTAAACTCCTACCTTTCACAGTTGGAAAGTTCCTCTTTATTTCTAGCCAGAACTCTCTGGCTGAAAATGTAGCATGCTCTCAGGCTCTGACCCAGAAGACAGTGAAGTTAGCTGATATCCTCTACACAATAAGCCTCTATTCTTGAATTATGTGATCCCTCCTGTGGTTGCTTCAGATCAAAGAGTCACAAAAGCCCTCCAACTTTACCCCCGGAGCTAAGCTTTCTCAGATGTTAGTGCTATGACCTATACATAGTCAATCCTCGTCATCTGCAGATTCCTTAGTCACCATTCATTACTCAGGAAAATTTGTAACCCTGTAAATAAGTACTTTATAGTGCTTTGTGGTCATTTGTGGACTTGCTCAAAACACAAATTCTAATCACCCCACTTACTCTTCCCAGCCGAGGACCTACACTTGGCTATCATATCAGCTTCCTCAAAGTGGGAACTTTATGCCAGTGCCAGAAGGCCTTCTGTTAACCTGAACTCTAAAATGACCATTGCACTCTGTATATCTTCCCAGCCAGGGATCACTTAACCAGCGTTACTCAATTCTGAAAAGAAGAAATCCTAGGTTAGCACAATAATAATAGTTGTTCTATGCCAGTGTGAGCTGAGAGGGACAAAGCTGAATGAAGCAGAGAAAACCCTGGTCTTCCTGAAGGGAGTGGTCCCATCCTAGGGCCCAAGACCCAGTCTCTGTGTAGGAAATAATTTTCTCTCCCAGGGAAATGATTTATCTTTTCAGTGAAGCTGGCTTCGTGAAAGTTCTCCTTGTGATCTGCTTTTAGAATGTCTGTCACCTACTGTCAGACAGTTGAAGAGAAGTTGGGTCACTGCACTAGCCACAAAAAGGAAGAACTGGGGCATTGGGCAGAGCATTTAAGACCGCTACATTTAGAACAGACCTGGTCCAAACCCTGGTTCTG